TAACAATTTTAAAAAACTAAAAACTATTTCTAAAGACGTTGAATAAGCAAGTTGTGATATTTTTTTCATCGACTCACAAAGAGAACTGCTCTTTTGCATAAAATCGATTCTAAATCATGCGATCTGTTCGCTGGCCCTGTTCTATATTCGTCTGAAGTTGCCCGCACGAATGCTACTTGTCTGGCGTTGAATTACCCCTAAACATTCTCAGTTTTGATTTATATGTAAATTGAGCCTTTGTTTTGTCAGTAGGTAGGTTTACCTGATATGGCCTCATTTTCGAAGAGTATCTGTAATGATATTGTAACAGTAGCCAAAATACAATTAGATACTATCACTGGTAAACCGCCTTATTTTTTTATTTATTTATTTTTTATCAAATTATTATTTAAATTGATAAGCTTTTCGACACAAAGCGCGGTTTTGATGGAATGTGCCCCCGTGACTGCTGTACAAACGCCGTGAATTCCTATCAGTTAATAATGACCCAGCAATTTCATTCCAAATGCTTCAATCACACATCATAAATATAGAAGAATGGTGTTAAAACTGGAGAATTAAAATAAACTTCAATAAATCCCACCAAATTACCTTTACCCTTCGTCGTAAACCAACAACTTCCTGTCCTACAGTTTCCTTTAACAATACTCCACTTATCCCTGTTGAGCAAATCCGATCCTAGGACTCCACCTGGACAAACGACTAACTTGGAATCCTCATACTAGACTGAAACGACAAGAAACCGCTCGACGTTTCCGATTACTTCAGCACTTACTAGACAAACGCTCTAAACTTCCAATTAATTACAAAAGATCATATACTTGACTATAATAAGGCCTATTTGGACTTACGGAGTTGAGCTATGGGGTCGAATTCCTCTCGTATCCAATTCCTTCAAGTTCATGAAATACTTTCTTATTATTTATTTCTACCTTAATGAGAGATGCTTCAAAGTAAATCACAATGTCGATTCTTCTCTCTTTTCTCAATCTGCTGGTGTTCCTCATGGTATTATCCTTAGTCTCATCGTTTACACAGTTAATATAGCTGACATCCCAAATTGCTTTTTTGGAGGGGGTTCGCCTTCAAGGACATACTGGGTTTTTCCGTGACAGAGGGTGAGAGTGGAGATTTAAAAAAAACCCGATACCGGGACGCGAACTCATGAATTTTTTTTCTTGTCGCTCCCTACCTCGCCCTTTTTGGCTATACGGGTTTTTTCCCGGCCAAGGAGTGAGGAAAGAGAATTTAAAAGACCCCAAGACACTGGGAAGGGAACTCGTAATTTTATTGTCTCCAGACTTTGGTTATTAGGTTGCCAGGCAACGGGCGGTGCTGTTGTGCACACACGTCAGTCACCCGCCCCCTGATATATGCCGATGTTTTTCAAACACACATCACTAACCCCTTGAAGAATGGTGTCGAAACTGGAGGATTAAAATAAATCCCATCAAATCACCTTTATCCTATGCAGTGAACCTATGACTTCCTGTTCTACAGTTATCTTTAATAATACACCTCTTATCTCTGTTGAACAAATATGATATCCAGCAGATATATCTGATATCCAGATTGAAATGACCAAAAATCGTTTGAAGTTTCCGACTACTCCAGCACTTATAAGAATCTAAGCTTCCAATTAATTACAAACAGTCACCTCATATACATGACAATAACAAGACCTGTTTGGATTTACGGAATTGAGCTTTGGGGCTGAACTAAACCCTCGAATTCCTCTCGTATCCTAACAACTCATAATCCTTCGTTAAATTCTCAATGCTCCTTACTTTATCAAAAATAAAATCATCTATAATGAACTTTAAGTTTCATATCTTTCCAATCTGTCCCAATCCAGATTGGAATGACTCATCCTTCTATAATAAATTTCAGAACAATCCGAACCCTCTCATTCCTAAATTTCTTTGGAAGAATTCTTTCCACTTCGATCTCTGATAACCTTCGAGGAATCTAGAAAGAAGAACCACAACCTTTTAACTGAGAATTTTCTCTCCCCTAATTCATCTGTATATTTTAATTACAGTTTCATTTCGTTTAGATTTCTCGTTTCTCTATCTGTACCTTTAGTTCTTAATCTTGATGTTTCGCTACAAACTTCATCATGGGATCTATAAGTGTCTCCTTTTCTGTCCAAAACACCAAATTTCTAACAATCCTTGTTGAGGCTACTTCGAGAAAACATCTATAATTGTTCATTGCTAGGAGTACGGATTTTTATATTTTCAGAAAAAAACAAAAATGCTATTAGTTACTTTTCTAGTAAATTAATTCAATATAAAACTTTTAATTATGTAAAACCTAGAAAATCCATCAATTTATTTTGTCAATAGATTTTTTTATCTGAATAGTAAACTTTAATTAGTGAAGCTTTTATAGAGATAATACTAACAGTAATGAACACTCAATAGCACAGTTTGTAGAGCGCAAGCGCAATCCAATTAGAATTGATTTTGTAGTATTAGTGGCTTTTTTAATTTTTCCATGTTTCTGATTATTAATAATAGGAAAAGTTATACATAATTGATAAATTGATATAATAGCTATATAGATATAATAAATATATTGATATTTAGGTAGTTTCAAGTGTAAATTCATATAATAAGTATAAACAAATTTAAAGTGTAGCAACAATATTTAAAAACGTTTTCTATACATTACAAACAGTTATGCTTTATTTACATTATAATGAGCGTGGAAAGTATGTATAAAAGTGCCGTCAAGAGTTTGTTGTTTTACAAAGTTAAAATTTTAATTTCGGCAAAAATGTCGAGTTTAACATGTCATTCGAGTCAACACACAGGAATAACAGTCCTTGAAATATAAAAAAAGTTAATGTAATCCGCAGAAAATCAAAAAATTAAAGTTTCTTTTTTTTTTTTAAGGTAAGCCATGTCGTTCAATGAATAACAGGTGGTTATTAAAAAAAAAAAAAAATTAGGTAATCAACAACTGCTTCATTGTAAATCAGACAAAATTAGAGTTTGTCTTTGTTAAAACCATTTAAAAGGGACTTTTTACCTTTCACAAAAACAAGTTGACTTTTATATTGTTTTATTAAAAAAGGACCAATAATACTTTAAAGGACAAATAATACTTTGTCTTTGTTTCATCTCATCTCTAAATATCATATGCTATCCTTTTTATTGCTTTCATGGGATGAAATATTCCAATGTCAGTACTACAAGATCAAAAAAATGGCGTATGAGCCCTGATGTATGTGAAAAGAATTTAGGAATTTTATGCCACGATTATAAACAATAATTTTCAACATTGTTACTACATCCATTAATTCATATCAGAAATTGAAATCAACTCAATGGATTGTAGTCAAAATCATGATTTGAGTTTTATTTTATATATAAATAAAATTTATGATATGATTATTTGATTTTTATATTTAGAATAAGGAAAATAAAAGTCAATACTAGATTAATAAATAATAAGTTTTTCAGATTTTGTTTTTAATTCGCCTCCATTATTGTGTTATCCTATGCACTTTTTATGAAAATGCTATTGATTTTAAAATTACTGGCTCGGTTATCGAATATGTTAATTTTTCGTATATCTTTAATATTGGAGGTTATTATTGAGAAAGAGTTTTATAAAAATACTACACATTTTATCCTTAACATCGAAGATAAAAGAAAAGTTATAATAAATCAATACTTGAAGAGGAAAACCTAAAAATCAATAGATTTTTATGAAAAGCGCCCTAAAAATCGGGGATATCCGAAAATTTATAATATATCGATATCAGAATCACAGAATCTTATAATTAATATTATTTTTATAAAAATTGCTTTGTTAACCCTTGAAATCGATCTAAATATCGCTGATATCTAAAAATTTATAATACATCGATACCTGAACGCTATCATAAAATCGATAGTATTTTTCAAGTAAATCATAATTGATATTTCGCACGATGTTTTAGATATAATGCTTAGATTTAAAGAGAACGTAGAAAAGTTATAATAAATCAATACCTGAAGAAGAAAACCTAAAAGTCGATAGAATTTTTATGTAAAGCGCCCTCGATAACCTCGCAATCTGGGATATCCGAAAATTTATAATATATCGATATCAAATCTCAGAATCTTATAATTAATATTATTTTTATAAAAAGTGCTTTTGGTAAGCTTGAAATCGATCAAAATATCGCTGATATCTAAAAAGTTATAATATATCGATACCTGAGCACTATCATAAAATCGATAGTATTTTCTAAGTAAATCATAATTGATATCCTGCATGATGTTTTAGTTAGATATAATGCTGAGATTTAAGGAGAAAAGTTATAATAAATCAACACCTGAAGAGGAAAATCTAAAAGTCGATAGAATTTTTATGAAAAGCGCCCTCGATAACCTAAAAATCTGGGATATCCCAAAATTTATAATATATCGATATCTATGCACAGAATCTTATAATAAATATTATTTTTATAAAAAGTGCATTCGGTAACCTTAAAATCGATCAAAATATCGCTGATATCTAAAAAGTTATAATATATCGATACCTGTGCGCTATCATAAAATCGATAGAATTTTCTAAGTAAATGGTGATTGATATCCTGCATGATATTTTAGTTAGATACAATGCTGAGATTTAAGGAGAAAAGTTATAATAAATCAACACCTGAAGAGGAAAATCTAAAATTCGATAGAATTTTTATGAAAAGCGCCCTCGATAACCTAAAAATCTGGGATATCCGAAAATTTATAATATATCGATATCTATGCACAGAATCTTATAATTAATATTATTTTTATAAAAAGTGCATTCGGTAACCTTAAAATCGATCAAATATCGCTGATATCTAAAAAGTTATAATATATCGATACCTTTGCGCTATCATAAAATCGATAGTATTTTCTAAGTAAATGATGATTGATATCCTGCATCATATTTTAGTTAGATATAATGCTGAGACTTAAAGAGAAGTTAGATAAGAGATATTAATGTTGACTTTGTCTGTTTAGCAAACAGCCGAGTCGCAGGCCTCCCGCCAGGCCGAGGCCCGAAGGCGCTCCATGGCCCGCCGCCGGGCGCAGACTCAGAGGGCCAGGAACCTGAGGCTAAGGATGGGGACGCCCCCTCCCGTCGAGGGCAGGAAGCACAAGCACCTCCAGACCCACGAGTACCTCGAAGATGTGAGTAATTTATCTTACCATAGCTCTCTATCAATGATGAGGAGTACTCATGCTTTCTTATTTTTATTGAAATAGTGAGATTATAAATCATTTAGATGAAAACAAGAATATTTTACAATCATCGGTTCTTCTTCTATTGGCACAACAGACAGTGTACCTTTCCCAGCGCGCTCTATCTTCTGCGATAGTCATATTTATTCCTATCAATCGGAGGTCACTGCTTGCATTGTCCGGTCATCTAGTCTTTTGTTGTATCATCGATTCTAGGGACATGCCCTGACCATTTAAGACACTGAAATTTTACAAATATGGATGCTGTAAGTTCATGATAATTCTGATATATTTCCTTGTTCGTCCTGATTCTCTATCTTCCTGACTCTTATACTGGTCCAAACTCCGTCTGAGAAATTATCATTTAAATCTTCAATTTTTTTTAATAACATTGCTTTATTAAACGCTCATACCCCTCAGATCTTTCGACAACTTTCGCCCAAAGCAGTCATAGTCCTTACATATATCTACGATTGCATTCTACGAACCACCCACTTTCCTCTGTTATGAAAACACTCCACTATTATCCTTTCCCCAAAACCAGGAAAACCTCCTAATATCTCAACATCCTATAGACCAATTAGCCTACTCCCAATCCTTTCAAAAATGTTTGAAAAGATCCTTTTGAAACGAATTATAGAATTATAGAAACCCATTATAGAATCCTAAAATATCCCTTTCCATCAGTTTGGTTTTCGCTCTCAACATTCTACTGTTCAACAAGGATTCCGAGTTGTTGATCATATTTCCTCAGTCCTAGAAAACAAGGAATACTGTTCGGGTGCATTTCTGGATATTGCATAGGCATTTGACCGGGTATGGCACGCCGGATTGCTCTTCAAGCTTCCTCCTATCCTACCTCTCTGACCGCTCCTTTCCAGTTCGCTGAGAACAGAATTTTCCAATATCTACTCTTTTAAAGCCGGTGTTCCCCAGAGCAGCGTCTTGGGTCCCGTGTTTTACATCCTCTTTACTGCTGACGTCGCTGTTCATCCCGATACTTTCCTTGCAGCATTTGCTGATGACACCACAATCTTATCATCCAACTGTGATCCCAAAAGAGCATCCTTAAATCTGCAAAGGCACCTCTCCTTAATTTGATACTGGTGTAACAACTGGCGCATTAAAGTTAATGAATCTAAATGCCAACATATTACCTTTACACTCCGAATTCCTGCCCACCAGTACTCTTTAATTCCATCCAGCTTCCTTACTCAGATACAGTCCGGTATCTCGGCTTTCATTTAGACCGAAGACTAACATGGAACCCTCATACTAGACCCAAAAGACAGAACTCAACCGACGATACGGCCAGCTATACAGACTACTTAACAGAAAATCTAAACCTTCTATTGAAAACAAATTACTTATCTACAAGACAATCCTGAAACCTATATGGACATGCGGACTTGAACTGTGGGGGACAGCAAAATTTACTAACATCAAACGCATCCAATCCTTCCAGTCCAAAGTCCTACGAACAATAGTCGCTGCTCCTTTCTATGTAACCAACAAAGCCCTAAACCATGACCTTAATATCCCATTCATCCTAGACCTTATCCCACAAAAATTCTCCAAATTTCACCAGAACCTTACCTATCACCCAAATCCTCTTGGAAAATCTCTACCCAGCACCACCCATCCTTACAATCCTCCTCGAAGGTTAAAGCGGTAGTGGTCCAGAGACCTTCTGTGAATAAGCATATATTGGAGTTTTGGCAATGGCCAGATACTCCACTCAGCCTCTACTGGGTTCTTAATAACAGTAATGCGGTTGAGTGCGAGGCGCTGGGATCTCCTAGAGTCCTGCCTTTCCTTCCACAAGTGGGGAGAAAGGCTTGACTCGGAGTTCTTGTGAGTGAGTGGATTCTGTAAATATTGTATAGTATACGCGTGTTTTAGTTGTTATTTTGATTAGTTTAGTTCTTTTGTTTATATACATTTACTTTTATTATTATTAGTTTATTAGTATTATTAGTATTATATAAATTTATTTATTATAAATAGAGTGTGAATGTGCTCTCTGAACACTGTTATAAATGTCCTTAATTGTGACCGATTGTAATATTTATGAATAAGTAAAAAAATAATTAAACTCTCAAGTCTCACATCTATACATTATTACAGGTCTAATAAGTATCTTGCACAACCTAACCTTAGTGGCTGTGAATAGATTAATCAGAGCAAAGTATTCTGTAATTAATTTTATTCTTATCTCCTCATCTTCGTTGCTAAAATTATTGACAACTTTTAAAATGCATTCACTGATTGTACGTTAAGGGTAGACGAGTTTCTTTCTCTTAAATGCAATTACTTCGGTTTTCTCCTCATTAACTCTGAGGCTCAATAAGAGAGCTTCTTCAATAACCTTTTCTTTAAGGAATTTTCTTTCAAATTTTCAGAAGGATTTTCAGCAGCGGCTTAAACGTTCAGGCTGTACATCTATATATTGTTATAGATCTAATAAGCGTCTTGTATAGCCTAATCTTAGTGATTCTGCTCAGCAACCTACTTCTAAATAGATTAATAAGAGTAAAGTATGCTTTATTTCCTTTCATTAATCCTGCTCTTATCTCCTCATCTTCATTGATAAGAGACACGAGGTAGCTAAAATTGTTGACAACTTGTTAATTGGCCATACTGATGATGAAACATTTATATTGAGGGCTCACGGGTTTCTTTCTCCTTAATACTATTATTTTGGTTTTCTCCTCTTTGATTCTGAGTCCCAATAAGAGAGCTTCTTTATCAAGCTTAATAATACCTTTAGCCAGAAACCTTCCAGTGACCGCTGATTATGACTTCTCTTATTCTAATGACTTCTATAAAGGAGGAAGAAAATAGAAAATATCATTTAAACTGAAACAAAATTAATTAATTTCCTTTAATATTAATTTTTAATTAAATAACGCAAAGTTCGCTCTTAGAGCGAAGTGTGCGCATGCTCAAATACCACAATTTGTAAGGTTTTTTTTTTTGTCTGAAAGAAACTAATACCTGAAGCAGATATATTTGATTTGGCTTGTTAGAAGATATTCAGCTAACGGGATGAAGATAAGATAAGAATGCTAATTAAGTATTGATCGAGTCCTACCTGCGATTCCTCCTAGCTATGGTAGAGCAAGATAGCAATGGAAGTTCTTGTTTTTTCGTCTCATTTATTATGTAATGAGTTTCTTTGTTGTTTTTAAAGACATATTTTTCTATAATTGGTAAAATATGATTATAAACAGTACGATATACATTATATATTAAGTTTAATGTATATATATGGTTCGTCTAATCTTATAACCAAAAAATACTACACAATAATTATTTTTTACAACTTTATTAATGTTAATCCGATAATTTTTTTTTTATCTTCGTAGGCAATTTAATTATCCTTTGAATTAGTGTTTGGATCGATTTGCAAAAGTCATAGTTTTCGAGTTATTCGAAAAAACTCAAAAAGACAAAAATTCAGCCGAATATCTAAGAAATATGCGCAAAATACTTTTAAAAAATATGGACACAAAATCCATTACGTTGTACTCTAGTTAATACTGAGTCGATTTAGATCATTTTTTTAGAGAATAAAATTGCTTTTATAAATATTACATATGGGTCATTTTGTCGTTTCGCACGATTTTCCACATTCAAATTACACAGAAAAAAAAGTAAATTTTAAATAGAATTTATTTTCATTGTTCGCTTAAAGATAGGATATTTATTATACTGGCCAGGAATTCCTTCACAGAGACCAGCATAAATACAGGCGTCTGATGACGATTGAATCGAAAATCTATAGAAAGATGAGAGAAATAGAATGATGGTCAGAAAAATTAATAGAAAATACTCCAATTCAATCCTGATTGGTTGTTTCATTAATTACGAAGGAATCACGGACGAGGATAAGTTTGATCAGACCAACTTTAAGATATTAAGTCTTTTTTATGTTAGGTGCGACAGTTATTTTTAAAAAGGAAAAGTAATAGCTTATCCTTATATAAAAAAGTAACAGCTACTATTATGACATATATTGTCTTATATTTGTAGTAGATAATTTACTATTTTATCCTTTTTGCAATTAATATGAATTTATATAAATAAAGGTAAGCTGTTGTTTAAAATTAAATGTAGCTGCATTTACGGCATTCGAAAAATATGGGATACTTCACAGGAACAGATAATGTAATTGTAAAAATGAAAGTAGACGTCATGAAGGTATATTTTCTGTAAAGATAAATAAATATCAATAAAAACTTATAGGCCATCCATTTAAAAAAAAAAGTTTAAAACATTTTAAATAAGAGTTTTTTTTACAAGTTTCAATATAATGTGTTAACAGATGCTTATGTAATAGAACAACATTGATTCAAATATACCTGATACTTTTCTATAACGGATGCTTGTTCTATTGAAAAATAACTGGCGTACCTAAAGTAAAAAAGACACAAAATATTAATTAACTGAAAATTAATAGAAGGTAAAAAGAAAAATAATTACTGTCTTTCAAAATTTGAAAGAAAGAATTGAGAAAAAAACTGAAACCAATATATCCACTTGTTTAAGCCTGGATGATATTATGATTATAATATCGTATCGCTTCAAAAGGTTTAAATCCGCCACTGATAGTTATTATTATTATTTTCATCACTATTGCTAATGTAACATTACCTAGAGCACTGAACGACAGATTGAATAGCTACCAACAGTTCAGTGAACCTTATCATGTTCCGTGACCATCCGTAATTTTGACCACGTACAATTTGTCAAGCAATACAATAGTAGAGAAATGTCCATATAATAACGAAGTGTAATTGCATCATTTACTTACACTATTATTTACTGAAGATTAAGCGTCTAGCTTCATATCGTTTTGGCAATCGTCTGTTTTGTTGACATTGAAACGATAGTTAGGAACGATATTACTGTAATCCATGGGCATCGATCTCTATAGGACCACTGGAACGTTGTCTAAAGGACTATAGTTAAAAAAAAAAAAAATTCTATAAAATGTCTCATATTTATGTTTTTAGAATTTTGGATAAAACGGGTAATGTGCTCCCTTTGCTTCGGTTGCTAACTTTTTTTCGTTCAGTTAACCTAAATGGACGTGTGTAGACAAATTCTTGATCGGTACCTCAACCAATCAATACCAATTTAAAGACATCTTAGAAAAATAGAATAATCCAATATATTTTCGAAGTCTGTCTCTGATTCGGCTTCCATGAAAAAAAGTCTATCGATGTCTGGTATTCGGAAGACCTTAGAACTAAAAAATTATATAAAATTTGGTGGGATTTGTAATATTGTCCGCTATAGAGAAGGTTCACTGTATATTTGAGTTCAATAATTGAGACTGAGCGAAGACCATGATTAAAACCTTTTAAGGGTTCAACGACATCATGCCTAAAAAATAATAAAAATTCACTGAGGAAATAAAACCAACAGCCAAGAAACAACAAGCCAGCCAAAGCTTTGTCCCAGACTTTGGATTATTGATAATTGCTTTCTTCGGCATCAAAAGAAACCTCGCGATTCGATTTGCAGAATGGCTTCAACATTAATGCAAGGACCTTCAAAGAAATTCACTGAGGAACAGTTTATAATTCCGTCAGTCAAAGAGAATGGTAAGGAGCTTATGGTCATATTATCATGTAATTAAGGCTATTCACTCAGTTGGATTCATGGGAATTTCAAAGACGGCCGTCATTGATTCCGGCTTATATTTTTACTTTCACTAAGCTATATATGAAATATATAATATAGGAAAGTATTGCGATCGTGAAAATTTTCTAATCTGAGTTTTTAACAGAATACAAGATTTGAGATCCCCTAATTCCAAAGAACCTTGTCGTACGCAATTGAAATTGCGCATTTAAGATGTGTACATGCCTGGGATGTACATGTGATGTTACAGAAACTTTTTCAATTGGCTAACCGAAAGTACCATTTTATATCATCGATTTTACTTATTTATTTTTTTAACGGCTCATACGATTTTGATCAAACACAGTGTATCAATGTATAATTAAATGATCTTTAATATGATTTAGCTCTTATCCCCGTTGATGTCGCTTATAGAGCTTAAATGATGAAAATTTAAACCTTCTTCCTCTAAAGTACATTTAATTTGAATTATTTAAATAATTAACTATATCTCATTGTTATCAGTTATGAAAAAAGGATAAATATAACTTTTGAAAGAATTTTATTATTGAATAAATGAGAAAAATTTATGATGATTTAAGTCGAAAATGAATCTCCGGAAATAATAGTCAGAAAGTACACGTTTTATATATCGTTAGAAAGCAGAAAATTTTAGGAAAAAAAAAACTATATCATGAAAAAAAATGCAAAGTGACGAAAAAATTGTAAATAGTATTTCTTGGAAATTATTATTATTTAATATAAATTACGTGTTTCAAGGAAATTAAATGAAATTTCCTAACTAAATGTAAACTTTTAAAATTACTTTTAAGTTTGAAAAAAAACCTACTATAGACAAACACATATGCACTCTCAACACTCGTTTTCATCTCAAACTGCACGGACACACAGACTTATATTCGACATGGCCAAGACTGACATGCCCATCAGGAGGAGATTATAAAGGAGCTGGATGAGAGATCTCTTCACCTAACTCAAGGAAGTTAATAATGACCAGAATAAAGGTGCTGCTGGGTAGTATCGTTCCTCATGCCTATAATATCGACCCTTATTTTATCACAACACATCTACTGATAATTATTACCATAACAGGTGCGGATATGTATTTAAAGAAAAATAAAAAAAAGATTGAAAAAAAAGTAGGTATATGAAATCCACCGAATCAAGGCTGAGAAAGAAGATGTGAAATATAAAACTATTTCATGGATGTAAAAAACCTCTTTTTATAACCTTAAATACATTTACTGTAGTTTAATAACTCTTGATCCGATATTAAATTTAAATAATTAGGCATCTATCGTATTTTTATTCTGAAAAACCATGATGTAAACTTTTTGAAAATTAAATTAGGGAATAATTTGATGAAGTTTTCCTTTGTGAAACGAAAATATTATATACTTAAAATTAGTTTGACAACTTTTGACTTATCGATGGTAGGCAATGAAAATCTTGTAACTCCATTTCAGAAAACTTTACAATGGAAAATAAGAGTTTAATAACTAATAATAGTATAATCCATAATCATTTTTAAGTTACATATCCCAAACTTTTCAATCACATATCACAAGCCTTGAAGAATGGTGTAAAAATTGGAGAATAAAAATAAATTCCAACAAATCCCATCAAATCACCTTTACCCTCCGTCATAAACCTATGACCTCTTGTCCTACAGTATCCTTCAATAATACTCCACTTATTCCTGTTGAGCAAATCCGCTACTTAGGACTCCTCTTGGATAAACGTCTTACTTGGAATCCTCATACTAGACTGAAACGACAAGAAACTGCTCGACATTTCCGACTGCTCCAACACTTACTAGACAAACGCTCCAAACTTTCAATTAATTACAAAAGACTTATCTACATAACTATAATAATATCTATATGGACATACGGAGTTGAGCTTTGGGGCTCCACCTAACCATCGAATTCCTATCGTATCCAATCCTTACAATCCAAAATCCTCCGTAAAATCCTTAATGCTCCATACTTTGTCACAAATAAAACCATTCATAAAGACCTTAATGTACCATATGTCGCTGATTTAGCTCGAGCCAGATATCTATCCTTTCATGATAAACTTCAGTCCCATCCAAATCCGCTTGTTTCTACTCTTGCTTCTTCCTCGACTCCTGATAATCCTCCTAGGCGTCTGAAAAGGAGATGGCCTCGTGATCTTCTTACTTAAAATTATTTAGAGAGTGCTACCACTGGGTAGTATCTCTTCAAGCCTGTACATGCCATTATTTATATTTGCGCATATTTACTAGTTGTATTTGTATACAGTTGTAAATTTCATTAAATAAACAAAAAAAAAAAAGTTAAATATACAAATGTACTGTTAATTCTTTCTATATATATATATATATATATATATATATATATATATATATATATATATATATATATATATATATATATATATATATAGCTCAGAGATTGGAGTTATATGGTTTAAAAACAAAAGAAATGGAGTTTTTCTTCTTTATTCTTTTTCGCTGATGAGCTGTTTGATTACAACCTTGCTAGGATGTGGTACCTCGCCTTCCTTCTAGTGTACCATTGGATATCATGGCGTGATGTTATCTTGTTTGGTTTTTTTATAGCCTGAAGATGCCTGGATTGGCGAAACATTGATGGGTTATATTATTCCTTACCTGTGATTAAGATACATGTGGCTGTGTGGCTGGAATTCTTTCAAGCACAATCTAGTGTATTAATAATTATTAATGTAAATATGTTATCATTTTCAGCTTTACGACAATCCGCCAGAGGTGCACGAGGCAGTACAGACAGACGTGTTCTTGGACAGACCTCCGACGCCGAGTTTTGCCATCGATGTCAACAAGGGAATAGAGGTGGGGACGCAGATCTACCCCGGAGAACTGTTCCACTTCGACACCGAGGTTCGGCCCGTGCTGGAAGTGCTGGTCGGGAAGACTATCGAGCAGTCCCTGATCGAAGTGTTCGAGGAGGACGAGACGATGGCCATCAGGAAGCAGCAGGAAGTCCTGAGGGAGCTCCGGGACTCCGAGCTGGCGGAAGAGCAGAGGCTAGCGGAGCAGGAGAGGAGGAGGAAAGAGCAGATCGTGAGTTCATTCTGTCTTTAAACTTCCTATACTTAGGCGGATCCAGGATTTAATTTTGGAGGGGAGCTTTTTTTAACACGTTAGCTGCTGAGCATGATATCTCTTAAATGTGTTTCCCGACGATATCGGGCCCCAGCGACCGAAACTATTAATGAAGTTCCTAACGGCATAGGATGCCAGAGACATGAAACATCATGTTTCAAGATATAACACTATTTTATGACAACAAAGGTGAACTAAATTCTCTATTCAGAGTCTCTATCTGTTTATTGTGTCTTCATCAATGGCCAGCAATCGTAGGAGTGGACTCAGACTTATGATGCCGTTTATATGACAAGTTTTTTTATTATTTCTCTTTGATTCAGTTAAAAAATGTAATTTTATAGGATATAAATCTTGAATATTGAAAATGAAATGAGAAAAAGTTTATTTATAACATATAATTATAATTTTCGAGATATTTATTATTTATTTATTTGTACATATTAAATAAGCAAGGGGAATAGTCTAAGATGAACTCTGAAGAGCTATTGTGAAACAGAAGGCCGAAGAAGATAAGACCATACATGTGCACTGTCTTGCCACGGTAGGAATATATATATCGGACGGATGAGAGGGGAGGGGTGATACCGTTGGGAAATCATTTTTTATCAATTTGGTACGGTACCGGTCCTCGGCGTCCGAAAACTTATTATCAGATATAATCATTATTTACGCTCGTATCTTTACATTTTTTTTTTCTTGTTCTTCCCTATCTCGCCTTTTAGGCTATATGGGATTTGGGATTTTATCAATGGCGCAAGTTGAAATATAGGGATTTAAATATTGGTACGTGGAACGTAAGGAGTTTAAACACAGCAGGGGGGCTAAAATCGGTCGCGAATGAGGTAAATGGGTACAATTTGGATGTCGTGGCTCTGCAAGAGGTTCGCTGGCCAGGGGAGGGCTCGATGAGGGAAGGGAAGTACACTATTTGGTACGGAGGAAGCGGGAATCATTGTTTAGGTACCGGGTTTCTAATTAGGCGTAGATTACTATCCGCTTTGAGGGACGTACAATTCTTTAGTGATAGAATTTCGGTAGCTACATTTCAGGGACGTTGGTTTAAAATCGCATTAATAAACATACATTGTCCGACCGAAGACAGTGACGATGAAGTCAAAAGTGAATTTTACGATAAACTCGAATGGGTTTATGATGAACTACCACGAAACTACATCAAAATAATTGTAGGTGACGCGAACGCAAAGGTAGGAAGGGAAGAAGTTTATATTCCGACGATTGGTAAAGAAAGTTTGCACGAATATAGTAATGATAATGGGATCCGTCTGATAAACTTTGCCATCTCGAAAAACCTGATAATTAAAAGTACGACGTTTAAACATAAGGATATTCATAAATATACTTGGACATCACCGGATTCGCAAACACGAAATCAAATCGATCATGTCTTGATACAACACAGCTGGCAAAGCAGTATAATTAATGTACGGTCTTATCGCGGAGCAGAATGTGGGTCGGATCATGAATTAGTAATCGCGAAACTTCGACAAAAACTTAATATAAAAAAGAGAAAAGAAAACCGTTTCGATTTTGAGAATTTTAATTTGGAAAAATTAAAAAATCCATCAATTAGAAACCAATTCGAGCTAGATGTTAAGAATAGGTTTGAAGCTTTAGAGCTTCCTGACGAGGACCACGAGGATATTGACAAGTTATGGATAGAGATCAGAGATAATATTAAAGCGGTCGGTAACTCGTGTCTAGGAAAAAAGGAAAATAAGAATAACAAACCGTGGTTTGATGAAGATTGCTTAAACATGTGTGAAAAAAGAAAAGCCGCTAAATTAAAAGCTCTAAATAATCCTAGCGAAGACAATCTGGAATACTTCCGAATCTCAAAGAACGAAACGACAAAATTGCTCAAAAATAAAAAAAGGGAGTATCTTAAAAATAAAATAATTGAAATAGAAACTAATAGAATTGAAAATAACGTAAGAGAAATGTACAAAGGTATAAACAGATCACGTAAATATGTAGGGCCCGTAACGTCTGGAATTAGGGATGATAATAACAATATTCTGACCGATCCGGTTGACATATTGAATAAGTTTAAGGACCACTTTGACAATATTTTAAATACGGTAAATTATGATCTGTGACCTCCTTCTGAGTACCAGAGTGCTGAACCATTAATAGAAGGACCAAGTAAAGAGGAAGTTGAAGTAGCTATCGGAAAATTAAAATCATATAAAGCAGCGGGAATCGATAATATTCCTACTGAACTAATTAAGGCATGCGGAGAAGCTGGAGTTTCTAAAATACATCGGTTGGTTAAAAAGATCTGGGTGAACGAGAAATTACCTGCAGAATGAAAAGAATCTATTCTTATTCCGATTCACAAAAAGGGTCCGAGGACGGATTGTAATAACTATCGAGGAATTTCACTCCTTCCGGTATGTTATAAAATATTCACTTTAATCTTAACCAGTCGAATCACGGAATACGCCGAGGAAATTATCGGAGACTACCAATGCGGATTTAGACGGAATCGTTCGACTATTGATCAAATATTTTCTTTACGGCAAATATTAGAGAAAAAATTGGAGTATAACGGTATTGTTCACCAGCTGTATATAGATTTTAAAAAGGCTTACGATTCTATTGACCGCCAGAAACTGTATAATATTCTAATCGAGCAGGGGATTCCAAAAAAACTAGTAAATCTAGTCAGGATGTGCTTGACGGAGACACTCAATAAAGTTAGAATCGGTAATAATTTGTCCGAAAAATTTGAGGTTCGTTCGGGCTTAAAACAGGGGGATTCTCTTTCGCCTATCCTGTTCAATTTGGCATTAGAACATGCCATTAGGGAAGTAATGCGAACCGAGAAAGGGTTGGATCTGGGCGGAACAACATCCGTGCTGGGCTATGCTGATGATCTGGTACTGTTAAGCGAAGACGTTGAAACTATAAAACTAAATAGACAACGTTAATGAAAGCCGGTAAAGAACTAGGACTCGAAATAAACGTGGATAAAACAAAATATATGGTTAGCTGCAAAAATGGCGATACTACTGGTGATATCGATATAGATGGTAATATGTTTGAACAGGTAGATAAATTTAGGTATCTAGGTTCTACGATAACTAGAAAAAACGAAATTGAAGAAGAGATTAAGGTTAGACTGAAGGCGGGGAATGCTTGTTATTTTTCTCTGACAAAACTACTTAGTTCGCGCCTCTTCTCCCGAAACTTAAAAATTAGAATCTATAAAACAATTATCTTGCCTACAGTTCTTTATGGATGCGAAACTTGGCCGCTTACATTAAGGGATGAGCAGCGTCTTAAGGTTTTTGAAAATAAAGTATTGCGTAGAATATTCGGACCGAAGAAGGATGAGTTAACCGGAGAGTTCAGACGGTTACACAACGCCGAATTGCGTGAGATGTATCCGGGTAATATAATTGAGGTAATTTCATCGCGGCGAATCAAATGGGCTTGTAAAGTTGTTGGGCTTAGTAACGAGAGAATTCCTAAAAGGTTAATATTTGCTGTGCCGAATGGTAAGCGTCCGAGGGAAAGACCGAAGCGAAGGTGGGAAGATTGCATTAAAGCCGGTCTGAAGGGACTGGGTTTGGACGGCGAACGGTGGAGGGAGGTGTGTAACAAGCGATTGGTGGTGTCGGCATCGAACCTTCGGGTTCGCTAAGCCTTATTATTATTATTATTATTTACTCCGGCACTGGGACGGGAAGACGTACATTTTTTAATCTCATAACTTCGGTTGTCTGGTTTCCGGGAAACTCGCGGTGCTTGGCTCAAGCGTTAGCCCATTCGGCCACCCCGCGCCCTGTATCATTATATCTATCCAACTCTCATTCAAATATTTTTAAAAACTACCATTTTAGAGATTTCGTAAGACCGATAAAGTGCGAAACAATCCCGGCCGTTTGGTAGTCGAGACTATCAAACCCCGAAGTCCGTAACCGCAGCTAACGTGTTAATATATAAATCCACACATATATGATTACAGCAAGGCTCGAAATCGGAACAAAACCTAAACTTCTGCCATATTTAAAAGCAATGAATAGGGTACCATTGGATTCAGAATTTCTCGGTGGGTTAGCGAATCGTAATCTCCGCTTTTATCTTTCTTTCAAAAATAAATAAATATATTTTTGTCGATACCCCATATTTTCGTTAACTCTTCATCAAATCTCAATGCTGGGCTATCATTTTGAAGGGTTCCTTTTCTTCCAGGTGGGAAAAATATTCACATTTCCTCGAAATTTCAGGGAAAAAGTTATGAAGGAAAAGAAATTTTATTTGTGAAAAACTCAAAAAGGATATATATTTTTAAATAGTATGGAGGTGGTTCACCGTAGGTTCTGATTTCAGAAGAAGGTAGAAGGGGGTGCCGTCAAACAAATTCTATATTATATAATAATATATGTATGGCATTGTCCAACATTTCGACCTATGTTGAATGTCTTCTTCAGGGCATTCCATCTAGCACTGCTGAAGGCAGTACAGCAACTGAATGTCTGATGTCGGTCAGGTAACAATGAAATTAGGTAACAAAAGAAATAAAAAAAATAATTAACAAAGAAATTAAATGGAATATTAGTGTGATCGACATAGTATATAATGTAAAACAGAAAAAAACAATATAAAGTTGTACAAGTTTTATTTTAATATATTACTATTAGTTTTTAAAATATAACAATAGATTATTTTAAATTACCGCATATTTTTTTTTTTTTTTTTTTGAGGTTCAGTTGAAGTATTAAGGAAGATATAGGGTGCAGAAAAAAAAAACCTTTGATAAATAGTGTACAGAGATTACTTACTTATTTTTTAATCAGACAAGTAATCACATTGAAGAGTAAAAAGCATACTTTGATAAAAATAAATCGATCACCGATATTTTTAATCTTAGTCGTTTAATGGGGCTCAAAATTCTTGATTTACTCCAAGGAGGCATAAACTGCGATGTTGTTTACAGTGTTATATGTTAATAATGATTCTTTAAGAAAATTATTTAGGTAACACATATAAGAAAGTACCTAATTATTAATTGATAATTATTAGAATGGTTATGTTGAACATGGTTAAGTTTATATTAAAAATATCCAAACCATTTTAAAATAAATCAGCTCCCGACAGACATTGTTGATGAATAAAGAGAAGAGACTCGCTTCTACTTTCCGAAATGTTTTAGAATAGCACTCACTGGTGATCAGTCATTAATCTCTTTGCTAATTATATCGAATCAACTACAATTGAACCTTAGATCAATGGTTTCTCTTCTAACTTTGATAAATAATTTATAACGCCCTTGATTGATCATAGTCAAGAAATCAATTGTCATTCCGATCTAAGCAAGTTAATCATAGGACCATCAATCATGCAAGACTAGTGTTGAATGGCTCTTTGCTCTGTTAGTCTTAGATAGGATTTCATGAATTCGGTCTATAATTATTGAAAATATAGGGTATTTCTATTTTAAATGACTATTTACGATAGTTGTGACCCGCGGTTTCACACCACCTTATTTTTACTGTAGATTCTTATTTCATATACCGAAAAAAAAATAGCAAATAATTTTACAATTTTTTTAAAGCTATTTAAGCAAAACTTATATTTCTTTGAGTCTAAACATTGTTTATCAACGATATATACCTAATTATTCCACAATTTGGTTTAGATAAGTTCACAAATAATGTTCGTTGGAAAACTTTCTTTCCTCAAGTCCTCTGCTATATGCTCATCTGTTTATCCCTCTGCATTGTATCTGATAGTGTTTTCCAAAAACGACCGTGGTATCCCAACACCGACCCTTCAAGATTTAAGGAAGGACAAGATCACGGCTGATCCTGAAAGTTTTGAGCAAGAATAAGACAATTCTTCTTAGGGGTGTTGCAATAGTATCGATATCGATAGATCGTATAGCAATATCGTATATCGTTTTTGTTTTTTTTTCGTCCCCATTATAAAGTTTGTTCAATTTAAATTTTAAAAAACATAAAATAAACGTACCAACATATAGTAATATTTTTTGAACCATTTGAATACAAACCTTTAAATATTTCCAGAGGAAAATACTTTATTTAAAGCAGTGCTGCCCTTCTATATAGTGTTGCTCGATATACAGCATACCCATCAAATCTTTTTTTGTATTTGAGCTTAGCTCTCCACATAATAAAAAAAAATTTACATTAGCTGAAGCTGCTAACTGGTCTACTTTTCATAGCAAATTATCGATGATAAAAAAATATATAAATATATTTAAACTAATAATAGGACTGTCGCCTTTTATTTACTTTCCTTTTAGTTACGTGGAAAGTAATGTTAAATTGTTACGAAATAATAAACCATTGTGAAATAATTTGCAGCGTTTTTTCACTAATTTAATTGGAAATTTTTAATTTAATAAATATATAGAAATTTCAATTTTCTATATCGTTTTTATTTATTTTTCATATATTCTTCCATAGACGGTTATTGAATTGGTTTAGGGAATGGGCATATATTCGGGACAGTCAACGACCTGGGTCTGTATCGATTAATATCTTGACCTAATGTCTGTCCCGAATTCATTGTTATCTCTTCCTCATCTAAATTTAATATGTGATAGATGTGTACTTTAGGAATCCATTTCGATATTGCAACCTTAGATTCCTCGCAAATATAGCAATGAAGTTACGAGAAAATCTTTTGTGTGCTTTTAGTTACATTCGTAGGGGATTAATCTTCTTTGCTAGTAACTTTATCCTAAACCACTACAACACATGAATGGTATTAGACTCAGTATTATGTAAAGAAGTACTGTTGTACCAGCTGTTGTATAGGGAGGTGATATAGTCGGGACATTCGTGATATGGTCGGTAGGAGGGGGCGATGGACCTCCAAAAAAAATATGAGTGATAATTTACATAATTATTATAAAATGAAAAAAAATGAACAATATAATAATATATATGAAAAATGAAAAAAAAAAAACTATTGTATATCCTATATATTACTTCTAAAAGGTGTTGTTTTTTTTGTCTTTACGCTGTAACTTCATTAATTTATCATCAAATCCAATGATTGACCACTCATTTTGAAGTTATTCTCCTTCACATAGGAAAAATAGTCCTGTCCCCTCGAAATTTCTGGGAAAAAAAGTTATGAAGAAAAAGAAAAAGGTGTTCCGCAAGGCAGTTCTCTACATCCTCTTCATCGCCGACATCCCTTCAAGTCCTGATACATTCCTAGCAACATTTGCTGATGATACTGCCATCCTATCCCTCCCACTCAGATCCTCAAGTAGCATCCTGAAACCTGCAAAGACACCTCTCCTTGATTGAGAAGTGGTGCAACAACTGGCGCATCAAAATTAATGAATCAAAATACAAACATGTCACGACGCAGATCCTGTCCGCCAATCCTTCCTTCTAGACAAAAGACTAACTTAAAACCCACATACGAAACTTAAAATACAAGAGCTTAACCGACGATTTGGTCAGCTATACAGACTACTAAACAGAACATCTCATCTCTCAACAGAAAACAAACTATTAATCTACAAGACCATACTGAAAAATCATAAATCAAAAAAAATCTGGACCTACGGACTTGAACTGGGGGGGACAACTAAATTTTCGAATATCAAACGCATCCAATCCTTCCAGTCTAAAGTCCTCCGTATAATAGTCAATGCTCTGTATTATGTCACGAACAAGACCCTACACCATGATCTTAACATCGCAAATGTCCTTGACATCATCCCATCCAGATCCTCAAACTTTCACCAGAACCTTATTCATCATCCCAATCCTCTAGCGCAATCCCCATCCATACCATCCTGCTCGAAGGTTGAAACGGCAGTGGCCTCGAGATCTCTTGTAAATATGCCTGTGGAGTTCTGGCAATGGCCAGCTTCTCCACTGAACGTCTGTGGCTCTAGCGCCCTCATTCAGCCTCCACTGACTTCTAATGTTAGTGATACGGCTGGAAAAGTGGCACTGGGATCTCCTGAAGTCTTGCTTTGCCTTCCACGTGTGGGAGAAAAAGCCTGGCTCGGAGATTCCTGGTCGAATGTATGTATAAGTATGAATGTGTCTAGAAGTTTTTATTTTATTTTATTTGTTTATTTTTATTTACTTTTTTTATGATTAGTTATTTCTTTATTATTTGTATATATTGTATGAATGAAAACTTTTAGCCTTAATACTTATAGCCCTCCAACAGTGGATGATTGTCTTATTATTCAATAAATAAAGTTTAAAAAAAAAGAGTTATTGATTGCTTGAAAAAGACTTGAAATTGCCTAATGTATTGTGCCTTTAATATTCTCGAGAAACAAACCAATATTATATCTACTATCTTTTAAACTTACATTGATATTACGTCTCATATAGGTACATATTAATTATATAAGTGAGAGGGCCAATAATATTTTTATTTGGGGGTCATGCGCCTTCGACCTTGGGCGGGGGGGGATGGGCACCCCTACGGAAAGCCCTGTATAAGTATGTAACTAATGTTTTTATTAATACATCCTTAACATATCTCATTCATAACATTTCCAGAGGGACAGGATCATAGAACACAAGGAGGCCAGCCTAACCCAGCGAGAGACGGAGGATAGGGTAGCAGCTGCCGTCTTGACCACTGGGTACATCGCCGACCTCCTCCCTTCAGTCCTCAAGGGTCTGAAAGACGGTGGATATCTCTTCGCCGATAACCGCGAAGGTGAGTATGAAGGTTCATGATGGCTATACTCGTACAAACATATATGAGTGTCTGCTTTTAATTTATTTTTCATTGTGAATATTGTTATAATATTCGTATCGGGCTATATAAGAACATACAGGTTAATTTATTTTAAGTAGCGGGCTGTAAAAACTAGAGTTTGAAATCGATAATTTTTTTTTCCACAAAAACATGTTATAAACATTATTATATTTGATTTTAATTCGAAAATCATGCCTGATTTATAAATACAAATTTAAATCGATATATGATGTTTATTGATTCGATTATAAATAATGATCACTCACTGAGTGATGCGGTTCTACCTAAATAATAATGATTAAATTTTGATCAGAAAATAAAAATTTCCTTTTATACACAAATTAAATTAGATATTAATATTTATGTATAGGGTACTATTTACACATTTTTAATATTACATTTCTGATTACCTAGGACTACATGTGGACAAACGTCTAACTTGAAATCCTCATACCAGACTGAAACGACAAGAAAAAGCTCGACGTTTCCGACTACTTCAACACTTACTAGACAAACGCTCTAACCTTCCAATTAATTACAAAAGACTCATTTACATGACTATAATAAGGCCTATTTGGACTTGAGCTATGGGACTCCACCAAACCTTCAAATTCCTCTCGTATCCAATCTTTACAAAAAAATCCAAAGGCCTTCGTAAAATCCTCAATGCTCCTTACTTTGTTACAAATAAAATCATCCATAATGACCTTAATGTTCCTTTTGTTTCAGATCTGGTCCAATCCAGATACCTATCCTTCCATAATAAACTTCATAACCATCCCAACCCTCTCGTTTCTAACCTTGCTTCCTATTCAATTGGTGATAACCCTCCGAGGCGTCTGAAAAGAAGATGGCCACGTGATCTCCTAATATAGACATATTATTAGAGCGCTACCAATGGGTAGTTTCTCAACATGTGTTTCATGTCATTATATCCAAGTGCGAATTTACTAGATGTATTTTTTGTATACAGTTGTAAATATCATATAAATAAATAAAATAAAAAATATATCTGAAATGAAAGCTTTAATTATGCATGCAATATCTGTACTACATATACTCGTATATATATTTTTTATTTAATCAATCTCATCAATCTAATTCATGCCCACTAGACAATATTTTGTCTTTTATTGAGGCATTCCACCAACGACCAAAGAAGAAGATTGATGTAGCTAAACTTAAGGACTCAGACCACCAATATTCGTATCAACAAGCTGTGGAGACGAAACTTAATTAAGATGTAATTAATGATAGCTCTATGGTCGATGAACAGTGGAAGAGATGCAGCAACGCAATGAAACAGGCAGCAGAAGAATCTCTTGGCTACGAGACTAAATCTAGAAGGCCTCCATGGTTTGATGCTGAGTGCCTTCAAGCAGTAAAAGTGAAAAATGAAGCCTACAGAAAGAAGGTTCAGCGTCCCACAAGGCTCTCCCAAGAAGCATATCGAAGAAAAAGACGCGAAGAGAAGAGATTATTCCGCGGAAAGAGAAGAGCTTGGGAAAACAAGAACATGGAGGATATAGAGGCATTGCGCGGCCAAAATGAAAGTCGGCTGTTCTTTCAGAGAATAAACGAGGGTAGGGCAGCTTTCAGGCCCAGAGTGACGGCATGCAAAGACACAAATGGATCTCTTTTAAGCCACAAAGATGAAGTACTAAGGAGATGGGTACAATATTTTAAAGACGCATTAAACAGAGGAACGGTGCCTGGAGAAGTAGGAGTAATAAAGGAAGACTCCCTGAATTCTATTGAACTCCCGGATGAGGAGGAAATGGAAAATGCCCTGATGAAATTGAAAAATGGAAAGGCGCCAGGCCCGGACGGAATCCAGTCAGAGCTGTTGAAATGTGGAGGTGAAGAACTTAAGAAAGCTCTGCATGATTTAATGCTGACCATCTGGGAGAGGGAAGCTATGCCTACGGAATGGGCAACAGCCATTATCTGCCCAATACATAAGAAAGGAGATCAAACAGAATGCGCTAACTATCGAGGAATCTCACTCCTTTCGAGTGCTTATAAGCTGCTCTCTAACATTCTTTTTGAGAGGATTCTCCCGTATTCTGAAAAGGAACTGGGGAAATATCATGCTGGATTTCGAAGAGGACGCTCAACCACTGATCAACTGTTCTCTCTGAGGATGATCCTAGAAAAGACTATGGAGCGTAAGGTAGTCACCCACCATTTATTCCTAGACTTTAAAGCAGCATACGACAGCGTTGATAGAACGCAACTATACTGTGCCTTGGAGGAGCTAAGCATCCCTCAGAAGCTCATACGCCTAATCAAAATGACCATGGACAGCTCGAGATGTAGAATACGCGTCGGTTCTGACGACTCCGAAGAGTTTAAAGTGAGCAGTGGGGTTAGGCAAGGGGATGCCCTCGCCTGTCTATTGTTCAACTTGGCAGAGGAGAAAGCTGTAAGAGACTCCGGTATTCAGACCAACGATATAATCTTCAATCGCCTGACACAGCTTCTTGGTTTTGCTGATGATATTGACATAATAGGTAGGTCTAAACAGGCTCTCAGAGAAGCGTTTATAGGCCTTGAAGCAGCTGCAAGACCACTTGGTCTAGAAGTCAACGAGAGGAAAACTAAGTATATGAGAGTTGGTGGTGAAGTGGATCTGAACTCTCCATTTGAGGTAGGTTCTTTTAAGTTTGAGAGAATGAAAAGTTTTATATACCTTAGGTCTGAAATTAATAGCAAAAATGACATGGCTCAAGAAATACAAAGAAGGATCACGGCTGCCAATAGATGTGTCTTTGGACTTGGCCGACACTTAAGAAGTAGGTACCTCTCAAAGAAGACCAAGCTGATCATATACAAGACTCTTGTTCGGCCTGTTTTGACATATGGCTCAGAGGCTTGGACGATGACCAAAAACGATGAGATGAAGCTGAGTGTGTTTGAGCGAGGAGTCCTCAGAAGGATTTATGGTCCAGCAAAGGAGGGTGATGTCTGGAGGAAAAGAAAAAATAGGGAGCTCAGTTCTCTCTATGCAGACATCGACGTAATCACCTATATTAAACTGGCCAGATTAAGGTGGGCAGGGCATGTGGCCAGAATGAGCACCGTTGAGATACCCAAGAAAATAATGATGGAGGAGCTGCACCTCGCAAGACGGGTAGGAAGGCCGAGGACGAGGTGGTTGGACAACGTGGCCTATGATGCGAGAACCCTGCTTGGTGTACGGAACTGCAGAGCTGCAACAGAAGACAGAGCCAACTGGCGGAGGCTCTTGGAGGAAGCCCAGTCTCGGTAACGGGATGTCGTGCCACACATGATGATGATGATGATCGAGGCATTCATTGTTAAGTAAAGGCTTCCAGATAGATTCATTCCGAAGTGGACCCATCCATTTTCGCGTGGTGTTGCTCTTATCACCTTCTATTGCATCTTTATTAAGTATTATGGATTATATTTAAATGATTACTGACGATTTTAAAAATTCAAGGCGTACGTCATACTTCCAAATGATAAACCTTTTAAGATGATCATTTTCGTGACGGAAGCGGTTAAACGTTTTCTACACTAATGACTAGGAAAGAATTCCATTCGAAGCCCTTGCTGGCCATTTCTATGGCGCGGCAACTAGGCCAATCGAAAATCGTTATTGCTTCCTATCTAAACACTCATTAATCACTGACAGCCCTTTTGTGTTCGGAGAGGGGGAGGGGATAAAGTTTATTTCGAAACTTTTAGTTTATAATTTTATTTATTATTGATCGATTATTTGTCTTGATAAGATGTCATTATAATTAATTTAATTGCGATTTAGAAAATGTTCCTTTTCAGTCCTGTTTTTCAAAGCCATCTTACATGACCATATTTCTTGACCAAAGCTTTAACTTTAACCAAGAAGTTGGAGTTAAGTACTTTGGTTTCCAACAACTAGTGGAAATTACTTTAACACGGTTAAGTTTCTTGAAGTAAGTCGTAGTTAACATTTCTGCTAGCTGTGCTAGAAAAGTAATCTCATCTTGGAACTTTACTTGTAGTAGTGTTTATCATGCGTATCCAGAAATTGAAAAATACCGTTTCCATTAATTTAACTTCATAGATGGAATATCATAAGAAAAGAACACAAGCTAATAAGAAAAATAATGTACAACATACATTGTCTTATTCTTATAACTTTGATTGAATTTTAAAAGTTTCTCATGATTCCATGAAGACATTTTACTATAAAAAGAATATACCGAAAATCAGAGTCACATGGACAGTTTTTTTTATTTGAAAATTAATACATTCTGCCGCATTGGAGGGCATTAATATTAGGGCTACATTAAACATTCACACAATATATACATACAAATGATAATTAAAATAGAGATAAAAGAAGAAGAGTTTAACATACATAGGTAAAAAAAAAAAAAAAAGAGGAAAGAAAAAAAATAGAGAAAAGCTGAATGAAATTAAAATATATAAAACACATTCATACCTATATACAATATTTACATTCGCCCAGAGGATTCCGAGTTATGCTTTGTCCCCCAAATGTGGAAGCCAAGGCAGGACCAGGAGAGCTCAGTGCTTCTCTCCCAGCCGCATCACTGGTATTGCAAGCCAGTAGAGACTGGTGGAGGGCACTAGAGCAACAGACGCTCAGGACATGAGTGGAGAATCTGGCCATTGCCAGTACTGCAATATACATATTTACAAACGATCGCGTGGCCACTGCCGTTTTAACCTCCGGGGAGGATTGTAGGGATGGCTGGAGCTAGATAATAGGGATTGTGCTACAGGGTTTGGATGATGAGCGAGACATTGACAGTAGTATAATAGAAAAATGGCGGAATACACTGCATGTTTTGGAGAATAGTATGTTTCCTAAACATATGAAGCGATACGATAGTTTGGTAAAAAATTTCTAACATCCTCTATAAATTTTTATTAATTTTTTTATTGATAAATAATACATTTTACCACACTTGAGGGCTCTGGGTATTAGAACTGAGTGAAGCACATTTATACCACCTATACAATATAAAAAAAAATAAAATCATAAAATATATACGTACATAAAACAAAAGTAAATAATTGTAATAAAAACAAAAGAAATGTAACTTGAAGTAAAATAAAATTGTACAGAAATTCGTATAAAAAATAAAATAAGAAAAAAATAAAATAAAAATGAATAAATAAACAAAAAACAAAACTAACACCTATATTTAATTACAATATTTATTAGTCATGATGTTAGCTTTTGTTAGTAACAAAATAAGGAGCTTTAGACTGGAAGGATTGGATGCGTTTGATGTCCGAAAATTTAGCTGTTCCTCACGTACTTTTAGTTGTACTATTTAATTATTTTTTATTAATTACAACTTTTACTTTAACACGTAGTTATTTAAGTTGTACTATCTCCATAGGTCCAGATGGGTCTCAGTATGGTCATTGTAAAGTTTAAATACAAAAAAATTGAGAATAATGAAATACATTGTAATTTTTTAAACTAGTGATTTTTTTACTTCAATTTTTTCCCATCTAAATTACTGGGAAATTTGAATGTTATAACTGAGGGTTTTTTTTTTTCTGAAATATTCATCCTTTATTTTCAAAATAGCTCTGTATTGATTTTATTATATTTAATTTTTCAGATATCGAGGGTAACTTTATGGACTGGCTTATGGAAGAAGTAAAGACTGAAATGCAAAAAATGGTTGAAAATAAAGATCTCCTAACAGGTAAGTCATTGTTTGATATCTCGTGTACATTTTAATTTAATTTAATAAAAATTATAGCACCAATAATCAAACATGACACCATATACTCTTAAAGACAACCTTTCCCTTGTTAAAGTACTGTTACTTAGTGTTGGTTAAAAGCGAGCCCAAGGCGAGTTGGTCTTGCAAACTCAATCTTGGTCTTGTGCAAGAGTCTCGCAACAGTCTTGCAATTACCTATCAGCTTATTACCATAGAGATATTAATGCAATTTATTAGATAGGAGAAATCTACCTAAGCCCGAATGAAAAATTGGAATAATTAAATGCAAAAATATATTGGTTCTATCAATTCTTTACATACAATAACTAAAATTGTCCAATATCAGTACCTATTTTGTCTTACATTTTATTCAAAAATCTATTATTAATTTTTTACCAGTCTTGTTGCCAAGCACAAGACCAAGAGCGATTTTTGGCAACACTTATATTGTAGATTATCTTATCACCTCTAAATAGTGTTTTCAGCTTCAAAACCTCCATATAACAACCTGTCGCTTCTAAATAAAATTATTAAGTTTGAAATGTATTTTACGTTTTTTTTAAAGTAGATTTTTATAAAGTGGAGCTAAGATACATTTGCTATGGTGATTTGTAGACGTATACGTCATGCTACTGTGGTCTCGGGCCATACTTCCAGTCCCCATCACATGTCCGAGTCACTCTGTTATTTGAAGTTGTTAGCTGACTAATTTACGTGATTTTTTTTTTTTTCATGAGAGTGCCAGTTTGACCGATGTTCTTCACTTCTATAGGCACAACTAGCGCTTCAAAGAACAACCTTATTCTCTTAAAGGATCTCCCGATGATTAATATGTCACCTGCTTAAGCTAAAACTTGTGTCATCTTTGTAAATACAGTCCTAGCAGTCCATCGGTACAGACCCCTTTTTATCAAATTCTTAACATCCCTTTAAAACTTCTTGAATGGCTTCGTCTTATAACAAAATTTTAATCGGCTATAATTCTCAAAGATGGAAGTTTATACACATCTTAACTAGATTTAATATTTTTTTTGGAATTTCCTGCTCGATTATAATACTATCCAACTTCTGGTGGTCAATAGAATCCTAAGTCCTTATGAAATCAACATACAGCTGGTGAACAATACCGTTGTACTGTAATTGGTATAGTCAGAATGAATGAATTACAATAATATTGTTTCTTACCAGAAATTTAAGACACCTTCCTGGGCGATACTTGTGGGGTTGCTAATCTTCAGTGATTTTTTCGACCTATAAAACTAAATAAATGGTGGCAGCTCTAGACCAATCCCAACGCTTAATATTCTTCAGTAACTGCGCAGTGGGTGCCGAAAACGTTCTCATGTTTCCTGCATATGCACCGAGTTGAAGTGGCATTATTCTACTTCCCGACGGCAATTCCTTCTTGGTATTTTCCTTTTCCAAGTCCTCAGAACCAGAAATCCTCTCTACATCCTAGAACTCCTAACTCTACGTTCCTCTATCCACTCTCTTACAATACTAGAACTCAACCTATAGATTTATATATTTCATCTCATAAAACCACATTATTCAGCAATTCCTTCGTTATTCGTGCTACCTCCTTTTGGAACTCCTTTCAAATCTCCATACGTCAAACCACGTCTCCATATTTCTTCAAACAACTCTTATTTCTCCACTTACTGCACATTCAAACTTCCGCAAGCTTGTAAGAATTTTTAGGTTATGTAATTACAATTGCTTGCCAACAGTTAATTGCCATTTTACAATTATTTTTCTTTCAGTATTTTTGGTATATAATTGTGATTTTCATATAATTCTATGTATATATTTGTATTATAAAAACATATCAGACTGACGTAACTTCTGCTGTTATTCCCAGAGTAAAATTATTTTTCATTTCAAAACTGGGAGTTGTGCCGATATCTATGGGTTTTACCTTACAATTTATGATAGCTTGTAAAGCTTGCTACTTTGCTTTGTTCTCAATATCGTACATGAAATACTTTCCCTCTTTTCCAGAAATGCTGCGAGAGATCCTGGAGACTAGGGCGGATGTTTACCACACCCTCCACGAGCGGGCCGCTCAGAAGAGGGGACACGACTCCGAGGAAGAAGTCACTCCCTCCGAGTCCCAAGCGTCGGCCGTGGAGTACGAAGAGGGGTCGGTGGCTGAAGAAGGCCGTGGAGAAGAGGTTGTCATATTGGGCGACGATAAGTCCTTCATATCGGTGAGAGGATAAGCATTTAATATCTATTTAATCTGTCTATTTATTTTCTATTGGAAAAATAAGGAATGTTCGGTATTAGTTCAATAATCCAAAAAGGTACTTCCTGTGGAAAACATTCTTATTTCAAGAACTAAAGAACTTTAATTTATGCACCAAATGAATAAGTAGTGTTATGAATTCCGTCCAGAATATGGTCGAAATCGACGATCGAAATACCTAAATTTATACAATTTTGTTAAAAATGTAAACACGACATTATTTATTTGAAATATAACATTCGTTTCGATGACGAACGTTAGCCTAAGGTTTTCATAGTTCATAGTTGGGGGATTTTTTTTATCATAAGAGGCCGCAGTAATTTATTTATACTTTAGTGTTGGTTCGTTCTTATATTATTTGACCATTAAGCATTTCTGAATCAAGCACAATTCGGGTAAAAAAAAACATACCAACTTTTTGAAGAACTTGTTCGCGTCCTGGTGCCGAGGGAGTCTTTTAAATCCCCGCCTCGGTTTTCGGCCGAGGACTCGGTTTTCTTAATATTAGTTTTCTTTTTTAATTTTTAATTTAGTTTTTGATCACATTCTGGGCTGAAATTATAATATTAGTTACTCATCCGACGCATTATTAACTGTTATGTTATTAAAAATTAGAGAAGAATAAAGAATAAAGTTACTTTATTTTTTGTATTAAAAATCAATAATTGAGAAAAGCCTGAAAATTTCGTGTTATCTACGCAATTACTAAAAACACCTTTTTTTTTTTGGTTGAAAGAGGCTTTGACCATCTTTGGATAGACCAATCTTATTCTGGAACTATCCCAGTGCAGATAAAAATAATTTAGAAAACACTATAACTTAGGAATTTTTATTTGTGAAATTATACCTATGGATAAAAATTGGATAAAATAAAAAATACTATTTTTTACATTAGAAAAGTACTAAAACTGTATTACCTTATAGTCTACATATTTTTTTTAAATTTACAAGGGAGATACCTCCTGTCAGCCTAACGGCGGACCAACCCCCATTTTGCAAATTATACGAGTGCTAATATAATTGTACTGCCCGTTGGTCAAATTGTATAACTTGATATTAATTTACATGTATTATGTAGTTCAGGTTGTATTATGTTTTATCAACATAAAAAAAAACCATATCCCGTACACATTTCTAGTCTAAATTACTTATTTTGTATTAGGAGAGTAGGAAGAAACAGCAGCTTAATCCGTATGTAATTAAACAAACAGCTGTATAATTTGTAAAATAATCGCTGAGCTCCTGTTATCTCCTACTATCCTAATACTAAAATAAAATATGAAAATCACTAAAAACTTTTTTATATAATAGAGAAATTTGTTGAAATTTACAACTGTATTAAATAAAAATACAACAAGTAAATTTGTATTGATAACAATGACATGTACGACTTGAAGAAAAACTGCCCATGTGTGCATTGAAATTATAGTTGTGTATTAGAAAATAGGCCAGGCAAAGACTGAAAATAATGGCCTCCTCCTATGTAAATCCTCTATCATAGCCGCTATAAAGTGGCTAAAATAATTAATTAAGAGAAAAAACATGACGTTTGAGCGTGATATCGGCCCAATCACCTCTCTGGACTATTGTTGGCCTTGTAACAGTACTTTCTCACACAGTGCTGCACCAAAGACAATTCACGGGTTGTAGTGATAGAGGTAGGTAACATATAGAGTATTAAGGTCAATACGGATAATTAGTATTGAGGATTTTTTCGAAAGATTTTTTAATGTAAGGATTAGATATGAGTGGATTAGATGGTTCTAAAATATAATTAATTTAATATAATTCAAACCAAATTAAGATATAAATATATATTTGTTTGAAAAAATATTTTATCAGATATGGATTGAAAATGACTAACTGAATATTTAAGATTGATAATTTATAATCTTTGATTTTTTTTTTTTTTTGTTCCTTTTTGGCTTTAAGACTTGTAAAAGCAAGTCCTATTTTGCCAGTAAAATATTGAAATTGTCATAGTTAGATGAAATTACACTGAATATTTATTAATTATTTATACATAGATGATCACTAAATGCAACTAAATATTGAATGTAACTTATATGGAACTTAAACTAGAAATACTAATAGTTAAAATTAAATGAGAATAAGAGGCGACTTTTATTATATAACTGCTTTTATGTCATTCAAAAATCTTATCAATTCACGGGCGTTATCTTTATTCTTCGACCGAAGAAAGTTAGCTCCATCATCCATAGTTTGCGATCCTGAACTAATTCTTCTTCTCTTCTCGAACCTTTTGCACTTGAAGGCAATGTGTCTTAGATCCTCCAAGCATTGGCATGTTGGGCAGTGACCGCTCTTAGCTAGACCCATTAGATATAGATATTTATTAGTTCTACCATGATTTATCCTAAGCCTGGTCAGCTTCACTAAGCTTTACTTTCTTCTGTTGAACTGCATGATGGTCCTTACCCTTCGAGGCACATTCCTAGTCGTAGAAATGCTACCAATCTTTTATTATTTTCGCCCTCACTACTCTTATCAAGCATGCTCTTAGCATTTATTCGATGTAGTTGGTTTTGATTTGCCTATGTGTCCCGGTACCCACTGGGAAAAGTAATTGTTGCTCTGGCGAATTATATTAGTGGTATGATTTTTAAGGAAATGTGTATCAGTGCTTTATTTTGATAGATTAATTTTAGGTGTTTACATGCAGTTGCTGAGTCTGTCAGAATAACTATTTTTTGGTTGATGTGTGTATTTTCGCTATATATTATTTCGTTAAGAATGGCATATAGTTCGGCGCTGAAAATAATAAAATCAACTGGTATTGATAATGAAAATTTCTGGTTCTTTTGGGGATCATATACAGCTACAGACGTGTTTTTGATGCATATGTATAAACTTGTAAATAATTAGGGTAACGTTCCGTGGTTGTGTTTAGTGCTAATTGCTTCAAATAAATTGATGGGTATGAACTTTTTGGTTTATTATTTTCAATAATGAAACATTGTGATCGACCAAAAAATTCAAAAACATAACCCCCTCTCAAAATTTGAGGTTTCACGTTTCAAGACGCGTAGAATTCGAAAAACGAATAAAAATTTTTTTGTCCGTCCGCCGTCCTCGCGTTTTTTCCGAAACTACTGGACCGATTTTTTTCAAATTTTGATATAAAATCAGGTCACCCGAGGATGATCCTCCTTCATCGACATTACTCTCCGCCTTTAACTTTCAAAATGGCGGCCGAAAAACCTGCGTTGCTATAGACTGTAGCTCCAAAACGAATGTACAGATTTCAATGAAACTTCGCTAAAGTCATTTTCTCGATGCCCTTTAAATTTATCCATAAAACATACTTCAACGAAAAGAAGCTGGAAAAAAAGTTACGAGTGTTGGTAAAATTAAATTCCGAATAACTCGATAAGTTTTTACTTTTTTGTTGATATTGTGATGAGATGTTTGAAAGTTATTTAAATTTCCTAAAAAATGAAGGAAGTTTTATCGAAATCAAAGTACTATTAGTAGAGATATCGCGGTTTTTACATATTTTGGTTTATTATTTTGAATAATGAAACAATGTGATCGACCAAAAAATTCAAAAACATAACCCCCTCTCAAAATTTGAGGTTTCACGTTTCAAGATGCGTAGAATTCGAAAAACGAATAAAATTTTTTTAAATGTATCTATATAACTTACTTCAACGAAAAGAAGCTGGAAAAAAAGTTACGAGGGATGGTAAAATTAAATTCCGAATAACGAATAAGTAATAATAATTCCGAAAAGCTTTTACTTTTTTGTACGAAATTTCCTAAAAAACAAAAAAAAATCGTTAAAAGCGGACAGTTAGGAGCAAAGATATGGTTTCCGGTTTTTTATTATGTGTTCTACTCCAAATGTTATATCCTTGGTTTGGTTTTTAAATTTGAAATGTGTTACTGAACTAATGCTATTTTTTTTTTTTTTTTAGCATATTACTAATGATTAAAGAAAAACAGTTTAGTCCAATAATTGGAATCACCATTTGTTTTGTTTTTTCCTTGTAACTCGGAAGGTAATGTTACTTTAGATGTACAATTGTTTGGAGATAATAAACCATTGTGAAATAATTTGCAGCGTTTCTTCTCTACTTTACCAGCTAGATTAGAGGAGCTGTGAATATTAATTAAAGATTTGGTCTTTATTCTTTGATTTATCGATTCATCGTTTGATAATTTCATCTAACTAAGGATAAAACGCTTGAAGAAATATAGATGGAACCAGAAGAGTGGAAGATAAGCTCCTATACGCAATGGGAGCAGGTGATTGAGGTTAAAGGGACAAGTACATATTTTGAATCATATCTCGGGCTAGGGGATTAGCCGGCGCAGAACCGTTGCTAACAGGATCAAGATCACGAGGGCGCACTGTATTGTCATCGCCTCTACACCTGTCCCTTCCCTCAGGGTGACCCCGGCCAGTCTAACCATTCTGGCTTTATCCACAGCATTAGGAAATGAGGAGTTAATACAATATAATACATTGTATTATTATTTTATTTTCTCTTCCCTTCTATATTATAGTCCGTGGTACAGAGCCCTTTTTATTAAATTATTAACATCTGACTGAAACTCCATAAATAGCTCCATCTCATCTTAACCTAAAAATATTTTATTTACGAAAATTCTCGTTTTCAATCTGGAGGTATGAATCTGGATCTTTCACCAATAGATCGAGTTTCTATTATTTTTCTTGTGCATCCTGTATCCGAACCACTTTAGTTATCTTCAAGGGAAGGAATGAATATTCAACGAGTATAAGACCAATTGCTTCCTAATCGTCTAGTTTCATACGGCTCATATGCCTGTCTAACGTTACCAAACTCTCAGAGCCACGTATACGAAGTCACACACACACCAAAGTCAGCAGATAAACATTTTTTAAGATATAGATATTGATAGAGCAATGGTGGAGGAACATTTAGAAGAGGAACAAGCTGCTTTCAGGCCTCACCG